TTTTTAAAAAAATTATTAAATTAAAATCATATTAAATGTTTATTTTTTAAACATCAAATGTACTTTTGTCGTAGAGCTACATATATCCAATTAATTTGATTTTTTTTTTATGGATAATCTATTCGACAAATCTTATAATATAAACGGTTTGGATTATCAAAATAGACTCAGGATAAACTCCCACGAGCCCTCACAATAGGCTACTATGTCTTTAGGCACAACAACATCCCTCTGTTTGGGTTAGGTACGGTTGGGAATTAGTTATTAGTTGTTGGACAGAAAACGAAATTACACAAAGATGGAGGAGTGCAAGGCTTTTCCCTTATATCCCATCACAAAATCATTTGCATCCTCTATATTTTTATAGTTTTTTTCTCTACATCACTGTTAAGTTATTTCACTAAAAATTATTAGTTTGTACATGGACATGGGTGGAAAAAATTAATAGTTGGTACAGGAGCACACGTGGCTATACTCTTGGGCAATCACAAATCTCCATATTCTTTCATATTTTTCAATCACCTGATACAAAATCGTTAGTTTTATCATCTCTACCAATCAAAACATTTATAAAACACCAAGTGATGATACTGCATGACCAACCAATAACTTCTCCAGATTGGGGTGGCTATTTTTTTTTTCTTCAATTTTTTTATTTTTTAATTTTGTACGAAGCACTTTTTTTTCCTCTTTAATATTTATCTAATGGAGGTTGGATTTACCCACACTAATTATCTTAATTCATATTATTTTTTCAAATTCCTTTTATTGTCATTGTATCTCTCAAATAAATTACCATCTAAGACAAGAACTACACACCTTTTGTCTAAATATGGCCCTTATGAGGGGCAAAATAGATAGCTTGGACCTTCACATTTTAACAAAATTTAGAGAATCCCAACTACAAATGGATATTATATCATATTATTTGGAGTTCATATTGTAATTATCTCAATACTAATTGAATCTATTAGTTTTCATATTATTGTATCGTGTCATTTTTAATTTATGTCCGATTAATAGTTAAAAGTACCAAATGTATGATGAGAATATAAAAATAAATTCACAATTTAAATTTCAAAAAACTAATCACTATTAAATAAAATTATTTACAAAATATTTTAATTTCAATTCAATTGCAATTTCTTTTTGAAAAAAATAATTTACTTTCCTTTGCTCATAATTTTGTTATCAGTTATTCGAGTGTTTTTTTTGTTTTTTTTTTTTTTTTGGGTGTTCTTGTGATTAGAGGTGGGCGTGGGTCGGTTGCGGCCACGGAACCTCCAATCCGCCATCCGTCCGCCAGATTGGCGGATTGGAGAAAATCAATTCGCATCCGTCCGCCAATCCAGCGGATGCGGATTGAGCGGATTGGCGGTTTGGCGGATGGATGCAAATCGGTTTAGCGGTTTGAAATTTTATAAATTTTCAACATAGTTTAACTTGTGCACTTCTTCAAAAAAAAAAAGAAAAAAAAAAGAAAGTATTACAATCAATAACTTAAAAAAATATTACAATTAGTGCATGCCTCATCCAAAGAAAGAAAGTTTAAAACTTTAGAATATCACAATCACTGCATGCCTCATCCACATATTACAATCACAGGATGCCTCATCCACATAAAGTATTACAATCTGTGGTTCTTCAAATATAAAAACAAGGATAATGTTTCGTAGCTCGAAACTATCCCCCCCGAATCCCCCTAATACCCAAAACGACGTCGTTTTGGGCATTTTACTTTTTTTTTTTCTTCTTCTTCCATTTTAGGTCTAAAATGCAGAGGAAGAGGAAGAGGAAGAGGGAGAGGGAGAGAGAGAGAGAGAGAGAAGAGAAGGGAAGAGGAGGAGTCGCAGCCCGGCCGCAGCTCCTCGCAGTCCAGCCGCAGCTCCTCGCAGCAGAAGCAGCTCGTCGCAGCAGCAGCAGCTCGCCTCCGGCCCCCTCCAGTTATGGCCCCCTCCAGTCCTCCTCCTCCTCCTCCTCCTCCCTTCTCTTCTCTTCTCTTCTCCTTCTCTACTTCTGAAAACAAAAAAAAGAAAAATTAGAGGGATTCGGGGGGAGGCTTTCAAGCTCCCTAGCATCACCCTAAAAACAATTCAAATCACAAAAACCATGAACAGAGTAATAGTAGAGATTGTATGTCTTTGTATTGTTACATTTATACATGTTTTGAAAACTAAAACCAACCAGCATTTATCATATTTTTTATTTATTACTTTTAGAGTTAGATTTAAAAACCAAAACATATAGACAAATAATACGTTTATTTTTTTCAATTTAAAAAATATATTCAAGTTGAAAACTTTTTTTTCAACAGAATTTTTGAACTCTTTTTCAATTAAAAACACAAACAAAATATTTAAACAAATTGAAAATACCAAATCTTATAAATTACTAAGGGTACTCGCGGTTTGGCGGTTTGGTTGCGGCCAAAGGAACCTCAAATCCGCCATCCGTCCGCCAAATTGGCGGATTGGAAAAAACAAAAAAATCACTCCACCTTTTGTCTAACTGGGGTTCTTACGAGGAACGGTAAAAGAGATAGCGTGACCTTCACATTTAACAAAATTTAGAGAATCTCAATTTATAAATGGATTAAAAATGCTTGGAAGTTCTAAATATGGAGTTTTAGGGAGAGTTTTAATGAGTTGGTTCTCCCATGATATAATGGTTGTGTCTGTTTTTTCTCTGCTTTTTTTTTTTTTTTGAATTTTCAATTCATTAGAGTTGGTTTAGTGCTCTTTTTTTTTAGGAATGTATCGTGACTGTAAATGGATTTTATATCAAGTTATTTCGAGTTCACATTATAATTATCTCAATACTAAGTGAATCTAATAATTTTTATATTATTGTATTGTATTATTTTTAATTCATGTCTGGTAAATAGTTAAAAGTACCAAATGTACAATGAGATTATAAAAAAAAAAATCACAATTTAAATTTCATAAAACTAATCTCTACTAAATAAAATTATTCATTAAATATTTTAACTTCAACTCAATTACAATTTCTTTTCGTAAAAAAAATAAACCTTATTATTATTATTGTTTTACTTTTCTTTGCTCATAATTTTGTTATGAGTTTGGTTTGGTGAGCTGTCTGCTAGTACTCAAGTTTCGTTTGGCACGTTGGGTTTATAGAAAAAAAAATGTAATATAAATTATTATATTATTTTTTTTATTTTCTACATGTATATCTTTTTTAAAAGTTAACAAAAATAATCAATTTCTAAGCAGGACCTTAGTGGGAATTCTAAATTTGATAGACAGAAGGTTTACCATGGCACAACTCGATTAATAGTTGGAGTTCTAAATTTGATAGCCAGAAAGTTTACCATGGCACAACTCAATTTGGAATTACTATTTTTTTTTTTTTTGGTTTGGAAGGGGGGTGGGGGGATGAATTCACTTATTAGAAACATGATGTACAACTTTGTCTGATACCATGTAAAATAACTGATGTATTATTATTGATTTGTATTAATTGATTTTTATCTGTATATTACAATTCCTATATATAGAGGAGAAGATGGTAGTAGGTGAAGGTGGTAGTGGAGGTGGTAGGTGGTGTGGTAATTTACACAATTTACATTAACACGGAGAATGCTTTCTTTAAGGTTAAATTTGCTTGCACTCATAAGAGTTTGCAAAAGGGTTCCTAGCAAATCGCCATCAGTATACAACGTCATATAGATAACAATTCTTGAGATTTTCTTAGAACAATCTTTTTTTTTAAAAAGTATGTTAGTGAATACGAAATGGGGAGGAAAAAGATGAGAGAAAACAATTTTGTAATAATCAAAATGTTGGGTCTAATTTGTAGCGTTGTTTTTTCTTTTCTTTTCTTTTTTTTTCCTTGAGGAAATTACCTATCAAAGAAATTTTTAAAAATTAATTATAAAATCAATGAAAAAATTATAATTTTATTTTTTAATATTTTATAACGTTTATCATTAATTTGAGAATAATTATTCAAATCTCCACTGAAATATAATTTTCCCTTCTTGTTTCAATAAAGATTTCTTTTACTAATTGATGCATACATAATTAAGATGTGCAAGTCAATTTAGGAAGTCAGACTTCAAACTAGATAAATAATTTTAATTCACTTTATTCGACTAAAGCATCACTTGAAATGGGGTTACTAATATATACAGTGAAGATCTGGGTTTGATAGATCAACTCATAAGATCCAAAACTTAGTGAAATTGAGGCCCACCACCACTAGTGACCCAAGATAAAGATCTTCTATAAAAGGTCAAGATATGGACTATAAACCCTAAACTCTCTCTCTCTCTCTCTCTCTCTCTCTCTCTAAGTCTACACATCTGACAAATGCATCAAAAGGTTTTTAGCCAACATTGCACCGATTCCACAAAGACGCAATTCACCTTCTCTGGCAAGTTATCTGATCAAATCGAGCCATTCAAATCTAATTACTATCACTAATAAGAAAAATAGTACTAAAATATCAAAATAAAATAAGTAAATAAACAAATAAAAAATGATTTATTACACTTTTTACTCATAAAATATCATCAAATTCGTTACTTAATTCCTAAACTATTAATTGAGTCTACTAAATTCCATAAAGTAGATAAATCAAAGTCTATTTAACTCATAAACTATCAATTGAATCTATTAACTACATAAAGTATTTAATTCAAACCTATTTAATCTTGAAAAGATTATAAAAATAAAATATAAACTCATAAGTATTATAAATGTGACGACCTTATCACGTATAATAATTAGCATCTAATTAATTAAGGAGATTTGAATTTTAATTGCCCATTATTCTGATTTTATTTGGGATTTATGAAAGTTGTGGAGGCTGATTCGTATATGATTTTATTGAGGATTTATTTTGGGATTCGAAATTAAAAGTCTAAATGGCTGAAGAGAGTATAATTGGTGAATTGAATTATTTTAATTTCGCGTATCGGACCATATGAGAGTTTAATTAAGTATTTGATTCAAATTTGTAAAATTGAGATTTGATTAATTGGGTCTGAATTAGAGTTAATTAAGTTATACAAATTGAAAATTAAGATTATTATGAATTAAATTTACTTATGACGGTCCAATTTGAAGATGCAATTTATTGACAGAGATTTTGAGTTTGATCTAAAATCGGAGGCATAAATGATTTGAGGAACCAAAACTGAGGATGGAAGTAAGTTTAATTTAATATTTAAAGCCTTTTGGGAGTTTGATTAAAAATCTGATTCAGACTAATAATTTATATATAATTAATTAAACTCTAATGGAAATCAAATTAGATTAATTACATTATGTGGGGTTTATGATAAGTTAAGAGTAATTTAATTATGTGCTAATCAAGACTTAATTGGGTTTAATGGGATTAATTAACCAAGTGTTACTTGTAATTAGTTAAGATTAAGTGGGTTTAATTGAGTTAATACATAATTAGCCATTAAGCTAATCTTATTCATTTATTAATCAAAGAAAAGTGTAGATGACTCTAGAGTAGTGGTGTGTGAGTGTGTGATATATGTGCTGAAGCCTTGGAGTCTAAAATATAGAGAAAGAAAGAGAGAAAGCCGTGAGAGGCAGAGGCAGAGACAGAGAGAGTCCACGAACCTCAGAGACAGAGAGAGTCCACGAACATCAAGAAATTGAGAAGGAAGAAGAGAAATTGAAGGGGAAAACTCATGAACTCATCAAGGAACTCAAGAATTTAAGCTCTAGGTAAGCATTTCACCCTTAATTTTTGTAAATAAGACACCCCATCACACGAATTCAAGGAAGAACTAGAATCAAATGCATGCAATTTGGAGGGATTGAAGAATTAATTCAAGAACATGGTTAAGATTAATAAACATGAAAATAATTTGGGTTTGGGAACCTCGATATATATATATATATATATAAGATGTGTATTTGCATGCACCATGAGTTTTGAAAGGATTTGAGTCAATTAATTTCATATTTTAAAGAGAAGAAGGAAAGAGTTTTATATGTGTGTCACGTTCATAAAATTTGGAGTTAATCTTAAAATTAGACAAGGTTGTGATTTTATTATGAAAATTAGAAATTGGTTTAATTTTGAATTCTAATCCATGCATGTAACTTAATTTAAAAGTGTCATTCAAATTAAATATATTTTGGAACATCTATGATTATGAATTAAGTTGAGGTTGCAAATTGAGTTAAGTTTAAGATTATGGAAATAAGTTTGGAAAGTAGTTAGTTTGAGTTTGATTTTGTCATTCTTCATAAATTTGAAACTCAACCTTACATGTATCATGGAATTTCAAGGTTTTGAGATTTTAATTCATGTTTTATGAGTTTGAATTTGGATTTGATATGAGAAAAAATAATAAAAATCTAAATTAGGGCAATTCAAGATTTTAATTATGGTTTGAACTTATTGGTTAGATTTTGATAACTGTTTCATACGTGCAAATGATTTTCTAAGAAGTTTATAACTTTAATTTCATGTTTTGAAGGAAAATAGAAAGAACTTGAAGTCAATTTTATGTAATTAAAAAGAAAATGAGGAATTGGAGCTATGCTCAAATTTATGGAAATTAATATAAAAATTAATCACATTGAATTTCAATTGTACGTGCAGTATGAATTTTTCAAGAATTTTGAAAGTTTAATTCATTTTTTTAAAAAAATTTGTGGGTTTGAAATTGGATTTGATATGGAGAAAATAAATTAAATCTAAATTTGAACAAATTTGGAAATAAATTATAATTTAGATTTGAGAATCAAAAATTAGTTTGATTTTGATTTAAATTTCTTACATGTAAATATTTTGAAAAGGCTTTTTAGCTTTAATTTATGTTTTATAAAATAAAGAAGAAGAATGTTAGAATTATTATATTCATAAAATTATTGGTTTTAATCTTGATGATCAAAGATATTTTTGTATTAGAAATTAAAAAAGTAGTCATGGGTTCATCTTTATTAATAAAATTACATATTTAAATTGGTTCATGCAAGAGTTTAAGTTTTGAAAATGTGTTTGGAAATTTTTTATTGATTTTGAAAGCACAGGAAATTTGCTAGCCGCTCGAGCGGTAAAGTCACCGCTCGAGCAAACATTAAGGCCAACTAATATTTTTTTACAGAGCTTTGCAGACCGCTCGAGCGACCAAAGGTCCGCTCAAGCGAAGACCCTATTTTTAGCATATTTTGAAAAATTGCATTTAGTTCACATTTTTATTCTCATCTCTTTCCAAAACATTCTAGACATGATTTATGGCTCAATAAAGATTAATAAGTTAACAATCAATATTAATTAGTTGATTAAAGAATAAGTCATTAATTTAGTAGTACTTGACTAAGAAGCCAGGTAAAGAATTGGTTTATTTAGAAAAAAATAATTTAGTAATGAAAGAATATGTGAAATGAAAAACCAATTCATTTGAAAAAGAAAGAATAAGCATAGTAGAACTTCGGACTACTTAGACAAAAAAAGAAAAGAAAAGTCAAGTTCGATCAAGGAATTGATATTGTATTTCAATGTGTATATGTTATGTGCTTGTATAGGTCACACGCTATTGTCTGCCTGATTTATCTGATCTGTCTAGCCTGTCTGATTTGCTTCTGCAGCTATCTGTAAGTAATAACTTAGTAAAACTATGTTTAGGTTAAATTATTTTCTATATATGGAATAAGATCTATTCTGAAATGCCATGTTTTATATTATGAGTGATTGTCCAACCCTAACAAATGTTTGTGGTATATATGCTATGATTCAAGTATGCTATCTGTACCCGGACCGGATGTTTCTTATAGAACTGACAAGCTATCTGTACCCGACTGGAGGTTTCTTTACGGAACTGATAAGTTATCCGTTCCTAGTCCGGAGGTTCCTTTATGGAACTGACAAGTTATCCGTACCCTGCCGGAGGTTCCTCCATGGAACTGACAAGTATGATCTATGATACTCTGTAAATGATTTGTTAGCGTTAACGGATGTACTATGTAAGATTAAGCATAAACTCTTATTTCTGTATATGATTTGAATATGAATATGAATATGAATCTGTTTCTAATTGAAATCTGAATATGCATATGACTCAGTTTCTAATAAGAATCTATTTTTGATATAAACTCTAATTTCTGACTCTATGATGAACATCATTCATTAAAACCCTTTACTTTGTTATTATTCACTGGGCTCTAGCTTACTGTATTATTTATATATGTAGGTGATCAGGCGCGTGACCAAGCTTAGAGGCGTCTGCTTGGAATCTGCTTTTGTCAGCCAACTTATGTGCCTCCCGTGGAGATTCCGGATATGTCAAATGGTTATGGCTATGTGATTAAAGTTTAAGTTTTATTTTCTTGATTGGTTAAACAAGTTTTTGTTTATTTTGTAAATAGGGCTAAGTCCCTTTTTGTCTAGCCTATATATATATGATGATGTGTAAATGTATGAATGTAAAGTTCAAAATTTTTCAGTCTCATGTAAGTCTGTACAGCTCAATGGACGTTATATATTTGCTATCTGCTTCTGCTAGCCCCTAATATTATGTTAATTTGTCTCAGAGGCCTTCGGTAATCTCAAGATTACTGGGCGGTTACGATGCTAAATCTATAGGGGCAGGTTTAGGTCGTGACAATAAATTAGTAAAAAATCATACTTAGGCCTCGTTTGGGAACAGGTTAATTTAGTAACTTTTTAGCTATTTGGCTAAAATATGAGCTAAAAAAAACTAGTATGTTTGGGATGATTTTTTGGCTTTTTACGAAAAGATGTGTAAAAAGTAGAGAAAAAAGAGAATCTTTGACTTTTTGGTATGGATTGTTGGCTTTTTGGCTAATTTAGTAACTTTTTGACTTTTTGGCTAAAAAAGAAGGTTCCCAAACGAGGCCTTAGTTAAAGTTTTATTTTTAAAAAATCTTAAATTTTTATTCTTTTTTTGTAAAGTTGGCGTAAGTTATTCTGTTGAATTTTATTTATAAAAGTAAGGGTAATTATCTATAATATTTTCCTACTTATCTTTTACAATGGCTACTTGCTTGTCTTTATATAGTATTATATGTCATAATTTGTTTTATGAAATCTACATGATTGTCTTTAATTTTTTTCACTAAGTTCTTTTTATAACTTAATTAATGTATTATTTTGTTCTCTCGTTATTTGTAGTGAAGTGTTCTTAATTAAATTATCTAATTCTGCATTTCTAATATATTTAATGCTTATATAATTTAATTGGCATGACTGAGAAATTAGACTCCGATACTAATTTACATGCACAATGAAATAAAATATTTTTTAAAAATAAAATAAAAATTTAAAGTAATATTTGGTAGAGTTACAAATTTAAAGAAATATTTGGTAGAGTTTTTTAAATATGATTTGAGAATAGAGTTGTATTTTGAGTTTTTAGAATTATGATTTGAGTGTGAAAAATTTGTTTGGTGAATGAGTTTTAAAAAGAGTTTTGAATTGAGTGGGGAGTTTTTTATGTGACATATAATATTTGATACAAAAAGTTATTACTCATAACCAAACACAACTCAAAATTCTATTCAATGCTCATAAAAAAAATTAAAAATTTCATTTTTTTTATTTAAAATATAAAAAATAACAAGTGTTAATTGTTAAAAGAAAAAAAAAAATATATATATATATATATAGCACTGTTCCGGTCAACTGGCCGGACATCAGGGAGGACGACCGGTTAGCCCAAATTTTCCCGCCTTGGAAAGAGTTTTCAAAAGTGGGTGTAGAATTAATTTTTAAAAACTCTAAACAAACAAGACACTCAAAACAAGGGGTGAAAATGTGTTTGGAGAAACCTAGGATTTTCTAGAATAAAATCTTAAGTAGGCAGAATCGTATAATAATTTATAATACTTATGGATTTAAATTTTATTTTTGTAATTTTTTAGGGACTAAATATGTTGAATTAAATAATTTAGAGACTTGACAGATTCAACTGATAGTTTAGGGATTAAACAGATTTTAATTTGGGTAAACTATTAATATGTCCTAATAATTAGACACTACAACAAAAACATACTTTAGTGGCACTACACTAGTGGCATATTTTTAGAAAATGCCACAAAAATGATTTTTAGTGGCACGTTTTTTAAAAATACCACAAAACGACAAACATAAAAGGCTCTAGTGACATTTCAATGAAAAGTGTTACAAAACCGCACTTTAGTGACATTATACTAGTGACATCTTTTTCGAAAATGCCATAAAAATAATATTTAGTGGCACGTTTTTGAAAAATGTCAGAAAACGACAAACATAAAAGGCTCTAGTGACATTTCAATGAACAAGTGTCACAACACTACAACAAGAACACATTTTAGTGGCACTACACTAGTGGTATAGTGGCATGTTTTTAGAAAATGTCACAAAAATCCATGTAGTGGCATTTTTTAAATTGTAAGTCTTCTTTAATGGCACTTGATAGCGTTATGAATAGTGTTTACCATGACATTAAAGTGTCACTGAAAGTGTGTAGCCTTGATGGTGTAATGGCACTTAGAAATGTCACTAATTTTTTTTTTTTTAATGGCACTTGATAGTGTCATAAATAGTATCTATCATGACATCAAAATGTCATTGAAAGTTTTTAGCCATGATGATGTGGTGGCACTTGCAAATATCTACCGTGGCACTAGTATCTACCGTGGCACCGATAGAAGTGGAACTTGTTCAAAATGTCACAAGACTAAAAAATGTCATTAAAAGAATAGTTTTGTGGCATTTTCAAATGTCATTAAACTAAGAAAATGTTGTAGTGTAACAACCCTCGTCACTATTTACCGATTAACCACTGATTACTGCTAAACTGAGACTGATTATGATTGGTAACTGAATTGATTGAAGTACTGAACTGATTGACTGAAATCTGGAACTGAATTGATTAAGTATATCTGTTCAATTGTATGTCTATCTGTTGACTGTTTGATTATCTGTTCATGCCTTTGTGTTTAAATTGCGAATTGAAGGCCTTATCGGCGGCCGAATCTGAAATTGATTGATGATTTGTGATCCTTAGAATTAATGTGATTTTATGGCATATTTAGTTAAAATGTGATTTGGTATGATTAAATTAGGTTAATTATTGATAAATTACACAACTTAGACTTAATTACTATTTTGTCATCCTTAGTGGCCACTACCTAGGACATCTTTGAGCCTTGTTTCACTCAAACAAAAACATTTCCTCAGCCCCTTTGTCCTTGCAAGCCGACCAAGAGAGAGTGATAGTGAGAATAGTGAATTCAACATAGAGATTTGGCTTGAATCTTGAAGAATTGAAAGCTTAAGTGCATAATTGAGCCTCTGGGCTTGTAATTGAGGAACCTAGGTATGAATTTCATCTTTCTTATTGTGTATTTAAGTTCCTTCTAGCATGGATCATGGTAGTTTAAAGAGCTAAGTCAAGAATTGGTTCATTAATGTTGGATTGGAGCTCATTCCATGCATGCATGTTTGAATTGTTGAATTTTGAGTTGATTCCATGGAGAATTGTCACATGCATGCTCATGGTTATGTTAAGTCCATGTTTTCATCTTGTTTTTGTAAGAGTTAGCTCATTTGAGCTTGTATTTAAAGCTTTGAAATGATTTAAATACATGCATGTTTGCATGTTCTTCATATTCATGAAAATTGGTTTGAATTGGATTTATTTGAAACACCCTTGGGCTTTGATTTTACAAATTGAGCTTTGAATCATGTTAAAGTATGAGTTTTGGGATATTTTCTGGAAAATTGGCCCAAGAGGATCGAAATTTATGGTTTAAAACTTGGTTTTGAGCTTGAGGTTCAAATCTGGAATTTCCAGAATTTGGACTCACGCTTGAGCGTGGAAATCGTGCTCCCAGCACTCTGCACTGTTTTGAAGTCCGCTCGAGCGGTATAATTGACGCTCGAGCGGGACATGGTGTCTCATGCTCGAGCGGGTGTCGAGCGCCCAATCGAGCGTGATTTTCACCTATCCAGCACTTTTGACTGTTTTGCAGAACGCTTGAGCGGGTAATTCTACACTTGAGCGGAAACCTTTGTCTGCATGCCCGCTCGAGCGGAGTAACCTGCGCTCGAGCGTGACCCCTGTTTTCTGAAAATTCTGAAAATGCTTTTAAAGTGCATCTTTGTATCCTCATCTCATCCTAGGCATTATTAGGCCTAGTTTAAGGCATCTTAATGAGGATATAGATGTAGAACCACACCGAGGTAAATTAGGGATTAAGTTGTTATCTTTCCCAACTGTGTAGCTTAGTGTGTGTTCGATCTGTAACTGTGTAGGGTTGGCGACTGGGGACGCGCTCTAGCTTTACTGTAGCCCAGAACTCTGTGAGTAACAACTGTGTAAAGATATGTTCAAAATGATTATCTTCTGAACAATTGAACTGTATTGCTTTCTGAACTGACACTGTTAATTGAATGAATGTATGTCCTATATTCTGAACTGTATTGTGGCATCCTTAGCAACTACTGTTTACTGTTACTGTTACAGAGATCTCTGTCGGTTCCCTTGTTGGAATCACTACTGTTTACTGATTGATGGCCATCATTTACTGTTCGGTCTTTTAAGACCTACTGTTTACTGTACTGTTACGCTAATAGATGTACCACATATGACTGTACTGACTGAACGACTGAAATACTGATTTAATGACCTGTTTTCAATACTGACAAGACATTCATTCTTAACCCCTTTACGTATTGTGTTATTCACTGGGCTTTAGCTCACTGCTCATATATATATGTAGGTGTACAGGCACCAGACCGTGGTTAGAAGCGTCGGGGTAAGCTCCAGTTTTGTCAAGCCAACCACTGTGCCTCACTGCGAGGTTCCGAGGCTGTCAAGTTATGGCTTAGGGGTGTTTTAGTCCCCCCTTCTGTCTCTGTAACTGTTTTGTTTACTGTACTGTACTGTTTAATAGGGATTAGGTCCCTGAACTGAACGATTGTATATATGTACAAACTGTTTTGTCAGACTGTATATATTTGAATGAAAAGTCTTTTTGCATACAGACTGTCACAGCTCATTGGACATTGTTTATTTACTGTATTGGTTTCTGCCAGCCCCTGTACTCTGTATTACTGTATTACTGTTAAGCAGGCCTTCGGTAATCTTGGATTACTGGCCGGTTACGGTGCTAAACCCATAGGGGCGGGCTTGGGTCGTGACATGTAGTGAGATTTAATTCCCATCAAGTATTATTGAAAATAAGTCCTAATAAAATCATCGTTAAAAATAATTTTTGTGACGATTTTATGTATATATCGCTAAAAATTGACAATTAGTGACTTTTTGCCACAATTTTTATAAACTGTTGCTAAAACTTACAACTAATGACTTTTTCTGTGACGAATTTTTTAAACTGTAGCTGAAAGTTAAAAATTAGTGACTTTTTTGTGATGATTTTTTTAAATTGTCACTAAAACTTATAATTAGTAACATTTTTTGTACAAAAATTTTGAAATGTCATT